AATCTTAGCGACCCTTATGTTTTAAGTAAAAAAAAAAATAAAAAATATTTTTAACGCCCACAACTTTTCAAGTTGTTAGCATGTAGTTACTTAAATATATTTTTTGCTTTGTAAGGGGTTTTTACGCCTAGTTGTAATCACCCTGTACATAAATTTCTTCTCATCCTGCGAGAACTTTTAGTAAAATTTTTTTACACTCACCCTGTATAAACACACAGCTGTACATTTTCCTGCAAAAACAACAATAATTAAATGAAAACTAATGCTAATTAAAGTCTGCTATATATATAGTACACAAGAGTAGACCCTGATTATTCAATGTAATTAGCTGTTTACATCTTATGCAACTGCAATATGCATATACAAATCAGACCAGCCATGAAATAGGAAATAATAACGGAAATGCATTGCGACTATTATGACTTCATCGCCGGGAAAAACAGATCTATTTGGAGGCGCATGTTACCTTGTACAAAGTCGAATTGTAAAAATCGGTATGTTTGATCAAACGACGGAGTACCTATATGTATGCACTACGAGCAGTAAGCAGTAAATTTAAAATTGCGACAGGTTGGACTTTATTTACTGCTGTACCAGTGCAGTTCTCACGTATTTATGGGACTATTATGAAATAATTAATAGTTATAATTTCACCAGAAGTGGAACAGGCGTTTACTGGAGTGACTGTCGAGAAAACTATAATTTCAAAAACAAAAAAATCATTCATCCAAATTTTTATATACCTACTTACTAAATAATCACTTTCAACAATTAGATTTTCAAATCACGTAATTATGGAATATACCATGTTGTTCATTCATTCATATGAGAGCTTCGTTTTTGAGATACAGAATGTTAAAGTTAATTAAAAAACTTTTTTTTTCAGATATTTGAAAAACTATTTTGACGGTTTTGATAAAGCTTGGTATCGTTTTATTAATAAGTAAGGGGCTTAATTTGATGTAATTAGATTTAATTTAATTATTCCAGGGGCAGCGCTGGAATACAAACGATAAAAGGTTTTATTTTCTCGAAAAGTAAGACAAAAATGCGAGAAACAAAAATATTTGTATTTTTAATTACTCTATGTAAAAATAATATCAGACTTATAAAAAAGCAGCGGCGCGCTTCAATTTTCTCTCAAATATCTAGTTAGGATGCCCCAGCGCCGCCCCTGGAATAATTAAATTAAATCTATTTATGTATATCAAATTTCGCCTCTTACTTAATACTTGACATCGGAAACTTTATGGCTACAATCAACTAAATAAACGGTAGTAATCTACATATATTATACTAGTAAGTGGCAATACGCATTGTAGCTGCAGAAATAGGCTAAATTTGCGGTTAAGCCTTGTGCCGCTCTATGCTCACGATACACAATGCTACTGCCTGCCATAAAAACACGTGCCATACAATTGACCATGCAAAGTATCAAACTCACACACGCACAAACGACAATGAAACATTTCGAATAAATTGATCGATGCGAAGCTTCAGATCAGAGGCAGACATATACATGTTATTGTACAATGACACGGAAAGTGTGATTATTAAAATGTGAAGTAGTTGATGCTTCGCCATCATTAGTAAAAACTTACTTATTATTACGTACTGTACCTACCTATATATTTGATGAAAAGTTCCATGCGAAGCGTTTGGTTTAGAAAAATAGACACTGTTCCTTTTTGTTACATACTATTATGCAAATATTTACATATATATTTATAATGGAAAGAGTACAAGAAGGCAACAAATGTGTAATTTTCTGTTAAAATTACATAAGAGAGAACTCGGCCTACAGCCAACCCTGTACCACATTGCAGCAGCCCTAACATTTTGATCTCTACTTATTACTAATAACCAAGTTTTCTATAAATCGTCCAAATAGTTTTGCAGATGTTTAAAAAAAGGCCTTTTTTATTATCACGCAAACGAAACTTTAAATCATACAAGTTGATATAAACTTATCTTTTTATTTTTACGATCTTTATAGTCTTTTCAATTTTCCAGATTAAAACTTGATTCACCCTGTATAGTTAACATTTTACATATATGAAGTTTTCGTTTCAGTTAAGAAATCTAGAAGGCTTTGCAAATACCGGAAGATAAAAGATCCGTCTATATGTATAAATTATTTTTATAATTTTACGGGAATGGTAATATTTCTGCAATTTTTATATTTTTGTGTATATTTTTTCCAACCTACAAGATTTATTGTATCTCTGTTGTGAGGTTTATATTTTTATTCTTAGTACTGTCTATGAAAGCCTGATTTTTTTTCTGTTTATTTTTTTAATCTTAATCTTTGAAAACTGAAAATCCTCGGTTTTTGAAATTTTTATTTGTACTATTTTCCGGATTGCTTTTTTATTTATTTAATATATCGTTTTTTTAAATCAATATTTTTTTCATTTGTGATTTATTTTTTCTCACATTTACATTTGTTGCAATTTAACTACATCATGTATTTGTCAATTGTAGTCACTAGTATCCTTCAAGTATTTCGAATACCTTCTAGATTTTTAGACTGAAACCAAATCTTAAAAAAATTAAAACTGAATATTATAGAAAACAATTATTCTGTATTATAAAATGATGGAATTTGAGATATAGATGATTCTGATAATTAAGCTTACCCAACTATATTTTTAATAAAAAAATCTCAACACTGATTTGCTTCAAAACCTCGTGTAAAAAAATCTTAATGCTGGCTACATCATGGTAATTGGTTTAACAAGTGCTTCTAGAGAGCCATTTGTATATACAAAAAATTGCATTCCGATCGGCGCGTCCAAATATTTCAGAAAAATCCTTGTTGTTAATGGGCTACCCTGTATGTGTAGGGTGTCTGAAACGTTCAGATTTTATGATCGTATAAGAAATTTTACTTGTTGTTTAAATTATATTTCCTATAAGATCCCATATTTTGAACGCTTCGTATAGGGACACCTTGTGTTATTATTAATTAAATTAATTATTAATTCTGAAACTGTGTATTAAAATTAAATTCTGTAATATGTATTTACGCAACTTTCATATACACTCACTACCTATATCAGTAATTAAATTTATTCAGAAACTGTTACGCAGGTATCGTACCGACATTTCACTGTTCCAAAAGTAGTAAAGTAAAATAAAGTTAAAATGTTCATTGTTTACAATTTAAAAGCCCATAATAAAAGTGAAGGCGTGGAGCGGATATACTTATAGGTCAAATACAATATAAAAGTGTATGCAAATTTCGTGTGGTAATTCTATATTTGATGCAATAAATCACGGCAGCACTAACATATACAGCATGTGACAAGGAACGTTTTTATTGAATATCGACTAATATAGAAACGTATCGAATTTGAAATTCGTAATTTTGAAATTTTAGTATGCAGCTTGGTAGGTACCGTAGAGATATTGTTTTTATAAAGGAGTCTGTACCAAGTACGACAAAAATATATAAGATATCTGTACTCTTAACTTAAATATTACATATAAAATCAATATGAGAATAGATGGTTTGGTATTAAATATTAATGTACATATTTTATCCAAATTAGACTTTTGAGCATTAATAAGCAATTTTTTATCTTCCTTTTATCTGTTTGGACAACATAAAAGATACAAAAATAATAGAATAAGTGGTTTTCGTTTGTGTAATTTTGAAAAATAACACAACCACACACAAAAAAAAATGATTTTCAGATCTGGACGTCAAACTATGTCTACTATATGTTTTCTTGGTCGCTGAATTCGAATCCGCGATTTAACCCCATCACGTCAGGTTTTACCAATAATCCTATATAACCCCACAACTCACGCTGTCAAGGCTGTGTAACTTTTATTACCCGCTAAAAGAACAGTGGGATGCTTATAATCAAAAGTTTTAGAAATTATAACTGTATCAGAAAAATAGTTAATCTACAAATATTATTTTTCGTTCAAATCTATGATATTTCCTTAGAGAGTTAAAGTAAAAATTGCCTCTTGACTTTTCTGCATAGTTTTTCCCATTTTGGTATAAATTAACAATATATAAATATTGATCCTGTGCCTAAATCCTCCCTCAAAAAATGTATTTTGTCAGTTTCTCTTAAAATTGCTAGAATAAAAAGAGAAGATTCCATCTGTTACTTCGAAGAAAAAAGAAGTTGAAATTACTAGATTGACGTATTAAACTAACTTTAAACTGATACTGATAATGAAGAAGAAGAAAGAGGGATCCCAAAAGATATTTTCCCAACCTTTCAAATTTTCGATTCATCTCCTTAAAGAAAAAAAAAAAGAGATAATACAAACATAGTAGCTAAAATCTTTCGTTTCTGAGGGCAAATTGAATTTTTTCTTTTTACTCGACAGTAGAAAAATTGATTGATCTTTTTTTGTGCAGAATCAGCACATCAGTAAAAAATGCAGTCGTTTTAGTCAAAAATGCAGTCGTTTTCTATGGTCTATCTGTAGTCGGAGAAAATATTTTCAAAAAGAGGGGATGCAAGGAATGAAATGTTTAAATCTCATTTTTACTGCCTCGGCATCATATCTTTAACATCCTTATAACTTTTAAACAAAGCATTTTTGAGCTAAGTAGAGTTAAATCCAAAATCCAATTGTTTTTGCCTGAGGAATTTGTGTTGTTATGAAACCACTGTTTCCTGAGACGTCGTCGTCATGTAGAAAAGTTAAAAAACACATTTAAAACAATTAGAAGTTTCCAAAAATATCCATTTAGACAAAGTAATTTAAGAAACGACATTTTGCGGAATTATTTATAAAACAATCTGAATCTGGATGATTATAACTAACTAGACTTCATCAACATACTGGTTGAATATAAAATTTCGCTGTGAACGGAATGTCCCGTTGTTTGTATGAAATTAATAACAATGTTCCCGTGTAGAAAAACCTGAAATTAGTGTCACTCTGTCCTCTGCAATCTTACATTATAATTACCGACGTCATAACTTTTACTTACACGAATATTTTGCTACCTTATTGTGTCCGACTAGAAATTAAGTTGCCTTATCCTTCAGTCTGCACTTTTCCTAAAAGAGAATGCTACCAAATCGAGATGGTAATTACTAGTCCTAATGAAGCGTTTTTCCTGTACCCCATTGGATGCGGAATATTAATCAAATGACAAAGGTTTAGACATCGCTAAAGTTCTTGAATGTAGTAGATGGACTGCCTGAAGTGACACGATGGTGTTCATGTGGACTTAAGTTTCAGAACCAATGCCAAAGTACTTGCTTTAAAAAATGGAACTTTCATGTACATAAAAAATTTAGGGACCATGTGATGTGCTAGTAAATTTGCCATAAATAAATCTTTAAGACTGGAATGTGATATGTTGAATGGTGGTGATAGTGTTCGTGAAAGACCCCAGTGGTCAACATTTGCCGAATATCCCGAAGAAGAGAGTTACCTACAGTTCCAGGATCTTTATTAAACCTAGTTTATTTTGTCCCCAGGTGGAACCGGGAGAGACTATTGCCACAACCAAAGAAGGTGAGTCATTCTTTTAACCAGTAGTATTAATCAACAGTAACACATTAGGTAAAGTAACTAATTGTAAGAAAATAATATAGTTGCATATTAGGTACCTATTTTGGTGTGATGTACCTACAATAAGATAAGTTACAAAGGTTCTAAAATAGATTAACCTACCACTGAATATTGGCTAATATTATGTAATGAATTTCCCAATAAATTAAATCCAACACATTTGAGATACTGAAAATGTAGATGCACTTTGTAATTCCTCATAGTCGTAAATGTTTGTAAGAATCTAGAATTTATTTTAAAGAATTCGAGAATGTTTAAGGACATATCCACTCGTACCGTCCAATTTACTGTTAGACCTCTGTAATTTAGAGTCCTCATTAAGATAATCATATTCTCAATTTGACTTGGAAAGGGTTCAGAGAAATTATCTTAAATACTGTGTTTAAAAATTGATGGTGTCTATCCAATTCGAAGAATGGAGAAACTATGTTTCTATTTTGTTTTTATATAAAATTCTGAAATATGTAATAGACTGTACTGAATTCGGCTGAATATTTCTCAGTTCGCATCCGTCGCATTTATTCGTTTAGAGTAGCAATTCGCGACTAGTATATTGAAACTTTCTCCACTTTTTGCCATGTGTTCTAATTGCATGAAATATGAATCTAATGTAGATATTGTTTGTTGTTTCGTTGTGTTTGTCTTTCATTTTGGTCAGTAAAAACCTAAAAAATCTTGCGTTTTGGCCTATTCTTTTAGATGGCGCCAAAATAGTTCTGTTTTTTTGTTTTCAAAAAATACTTTCCAGTAAATCTTCTTAACTACGTTTAGTAGTCAGCCCAATCAATTTACTTGAAGAAAGAAGCACTCTTAAAATACAGAAATAGACTATTGTGTTCATTGCGCGGGTTTACCGTTTTCAAATAAAATCTGAATAGGTCGAGATTCACTGATAGAAGAAAATTTGATAACACAGAAATGAGGAAGCATATTAATTACTTATGTTATATGAACAGATTTTTCTTGCAACCCCCTTTTTTTTGGAGGGCGGATAGTGTTTAGTTCAGATTTTGAAAAAAANGCATCAAATCGTAGAGCTCCATGTGTAATACAACGTACGAAAATTTTATTAAAATATACAGGGTGGTTTCAAAGTTATAACCCTAAACGTTAATTTCTAGGTACCCCTTTGACCCCCCATAACTCCGTTAGGGGGCACATTAGGAAAAAAAATTATAGGAAGGACTAGTTTTATTTTGACCTCCCCTATACACTCCCGAGAGATTAGGAGGTACTTACCGGACACCTTGTATAAAATTCTGAAATATGTAATAAGACTGTACTGAATTCGGCTGAGTATTTCTCAGTTTGCATCCGTCGCATTTATTCGTTTAGAGTAGCAATTCGTGACTAATATATTGAAACTTTCTCTACTTTTTGTCATGTGTTCTAATTGCATGAAATATGAATCTAATGTAGATATTGTTTGTTGTTTCGTTGTGTTTGTCTTTCATTTTGGTCAGTAAAAACCTAAAAAAATCTTGCGTTTTGGCCTATTCTTTTAGATGGCGCCAAAATAGTTCTGTTTTTTTGTTTTCAAAAAATACTTTCCAGTAAATCTTTTTAACTACGTTTAGTAGTCAGCCCAATCAATTTACTTGAAGAAAGAAGCACTCTTAAAATACAGAAATAGACTATTGTGTTCATTGCGCGGGTTTACCGTTTTCAAATAAAATCTGAATAGGTCGAGATTCACTGATAGAAGAAAATTTGATAACACAGAAATGAGGAAGCATATTAATTACTTATGTTATATGAACAGATTTTTCTTGCAACCCCCTTTTTTTTGGAGGGCGGATAGTGTTTAGTTCAGATTTTGAAAAAAATAATTGCACCATTACTTTTTTAAGTGGATTTTGTAATTTTTTTTGTATACTACCTACCTACAACAGATTAATAAATCTGTTTTTTAAACACTATGAATATTTTTTGAATGAATGTCATTTATTGCTAAATATGTGGACTAAAACGTACCATACGATTTAACAATAACATCTAGTGTGTAGTTGGTAAACGATCTGCATCTATCGTTATCATCTGTTCTTCACTAGCAACGGCAAGGAGAAAGTGTAGACATAATCACTTAGCACACTCACAAAAGCATTGTAAGTGTATTACTGGTTGCCGACTGTACTTCACTGTTTGAATGAAATTTTGTAGGTAACCTTGATTGGCCTTACACAATATTATTTAATATTATTATTGCGAAATTAAGACAATATTCTGTTGAGTATTTTAAATTCTTTTTCTGAAATGGATAATTCGTTTCTCAGGTTTGTACTAAGATAACTACAAAATGTAATTCAAAAACTGTTATTTTAAGATGTACATAAATCTTATGAATACTTTAATATATTTCTCAAAACATCATACTCTATTCCACACTTTTAGTTTAACCAGTAAAAAATAATATGCCATTACATCAGGATATCTTTTTTGATTATAAAATTACATATTTTTATTAACAAAATCTATTAGGAACAAATTATTGGAAGACGTAGGAACTGCAATGTAACTTTTTAATTTTTTATGTAATATATTTAGTATTTATGCTATAATTAGACCTTACATTTCTTTCGTCACAGGTGTACATTTTATTTTAATGGAATGAGTGCTTGTGAAATTAAATAAATGAAGAAATTTGTTAATGTTTTCAAATTACTTTTACAGAGGAATGGGTCAGCAAAAAGAAAACCGAAGTAACAAATACCAAACAAATTGAAACACGAGTTAAGAGACAAGTAATACTTGAAGATGGAAAAATTGTTGAGGATACAGGGCCTATGGTCACCACCAACACTACTGAAGATTCAGAAACACAGGAACACCATCAAACAGAGGTAAGTTAAGTGTACTTTTAAAATTTCAATAAAACAATAGATACAGTTTGATTCATCATATGCAGAACTAAATAGTTCATTGAACATATTTCATTAAATTGACGTGAGTCCAGAGACAGCCAAAATAGCCAAATCTACTTTTTTTCGAGATTCCCCGCATGCGTGTTTCTTATGTGACGTAGGCCAGAGATAACTTTAATGTAATCATTTTTATGAAATAGGTTTCATTAGTGCGTTTTTCATAAAAAACTATTTTGACTTGAGATTATTTTTTTTTTATTAAGAATCAAGAAAAACTTGTCTACGGAAAACCCCAAAGCAAAGTGAGTTTGGCAGTCCCTAGATACAATTAGCAAATTATCTTGGTAATATAATGTAATATTCCTTTGTGGGAATACTGTTTTAAGCTGAATTCATTCTGATTGTCAGATAATATTTAATAAGACTGTTCCGTTTCCAGCCCAATTTCGGACAACCAAAATTTATAAATTATTACAATTCTAAGTAAAAAAGGGCATTTCCTTTTGTAGTGGTAAAGGTAACACTGAAATGCGTTAATTTTCATAAATTTTTTAAGTAAATATCTAAGAAAAAAATGTAGGTAACGATTTTTTAAATTAAAAAGCACGTTTCTTTAAAAAAAGAAGTGCTATTGGACAAAGTGAATAAAATAATTTTTATTATTTTAATTAGCGGAACGTAATGTGAGAATTTGTAACATTTAAGACTCAGATTAATTTAAAAAATATACTTTTAGATTTTAATTCCTACTGATTTTCCAAATGTGTTTATAATTTGTTTAAAAGATTATTATTATTATCCTATAACACCCGTGGTGCCTTCAGCGTTTAATGTCGTACGAGTCTCTTATTTTCGATTATTTTTTGTTAAATATAGATTTTATGACATTTGTTTGATATTTAATATGCATTGACGTTTAGATGTTTTTTTTTTATTTGCCTTAGGGTATTATAAATGTTTATAACGTCTTAAGACATTATTTCTCATTTAATGCATTTCAAAATATAATGATTATTACAAAATATCAGACTAATATTGTATTAGAATACTTGACTGTTTATAACACGAAAGTTGCTCAAAATTTAATGTTTTTTTATGTGGATTTTTTAAAGTCATTAAATAATATCTTTGTGCCTTTCCAACAGTTGTGGGAATATTGTTGTGTAGAGTACACAAATAGAAGACTAGATAGTCTCCTTTTTAGAAACACTGCACAACAATCTCTGTAGATCATTGATACCTCTTTTGGTTTTTGTGGTATTGTTAGGAAAACATTTTTATAGTACGTTTTACTGTAAAGAAGTCTCCTTATTAATTTTGTTATTTTCGCCAGTTACGAAAACTTGGGGATGACGAAACGGACGGTCCACTCGCGGTGGAAGGGGGCGACAGCAACGCCGTCGTCGAAAAGTCGAATTGGGTGGCGGTGGCAAACCCAGATGGAATCGTGCGTGAGGTTAAGGAACGCAAGGTTATTTCCAGAGAGGAGACAGAAGAAGTTAAAGAGACGGAAGACGTGCAGCACCTGGGTGACATCACCGACGAGGTAAGTCTAAAGGTTAAGTCGGAATAACTCTATAAATAATTTTCGAGGTACACTGAAAGACGATGTCCAAATTTAATTTACGTTTATAATAGATATTAATGAAAATATTGTGAAATTACTAGTTAATGTAATTATTTTGTGTCATCCACGATTACGATATTGTTTCTCATGTACGGATGTCCAATGACATATATATTTTGTTTGTTAATGTTGTCTAAGTCCGTCAACATTGACAATCAAATCAACAAATTTGATAAAAAAATGTATCATAATTTTGCACACATACCTATTTCTAAATTTTGCACACGCATGTAGCAGAATCTGCAGCGATTCTTATATGGGGCGGGAAAGAGGGAGGGGGGTGTAACTTGGCGGTTAATCCCCCATGACAACTAACAGACATTTCCAGACTTCTATACTATGATATTAATTTTTCATAATTTTAGATATTCATTTTTTAATTTTGCACAACTCACTGAAAGAAGTTACTTCTCTTGGCATATAACAGAAAACAAATCCTCCCGGAAATCAATCAAATCTAACTTTTTAACTGTACGATTATGTACACCGTTTTCAAATTGTGTACATTTCACTGAAATAAGTACCTAACTGCCTCTTATTGTTATTAAGAAGAGCTGAATTACAAAATTTAAAAATAAATGTGCAAAATTGTGCAAAAATTGCGCAAAATTATAATAGTCATTTTTTATATTAAACTTACTAATTTGGATAGTAAACTTCAAGGGCCTGTGTTGTTTTTATGGAATTAAATGTAGTACAAATCCGACAATACAAAGTCGGATAATTTTCTTAGAAGTTATTTTACGTTAAAGTAAAAAGAAGTATTTATCTATTACTTTGTTTTAAAATGATCTAATTAATATCACAATTACTCCTCAAGGTCTTCTATTATACTTGCAATTATATACCTACAAATGAAGTTGCACAACATACAGTGTGTTCCACATTGAAACTCGTATTTTAAAACAATTATGTTGATTTTCAATTTTTTTTTTTTCAGTATTTAGTACTGGATGAGATCTATACCAATTTGGTGGCCTACTGTGTCCAAAAAATGTACTATGAATTTCTTTTAAGATGGCTGATGGCTTTATTGAATCGCACGTGTTACTATTTGCTAATAATAAAATTTCATGCCGATAATTCATGCTGGGTGTTTGTTTTAGTAAGTGCAATTTTAAATGCAGTATTTGAAGGACCTTATATAAAAGACTTTGTACAGAGCGATAAAAAATCTGACAGTTACAAACTTGCACAAATGAATAAATAAGTTTTGAACCGAAAAACCCATCGAAAAATAACTTAAAAAAGTAAATAAAATAATGTCTAATAAAATGTTTGTTTAATGTTCGTAATTTTAATATTTATTTTCTCAAATTAGTTTTATTAGTGTACTATTAATGCAGAATCGCAGTGATTGTCTGCGGTTATTATGTTAAGAAGGCCTTTCTGTGTTATGCTTAAAACATTGTTATTAGTAACTTACCAAGTTTCTCTGCGCCAAGAAAATCTTTTCTCTATTCTAACCTAAAATGGCCCAATATGATGAAACATTGCCTATATATACCTAGGGTTTTCTAAATATTGTAATGTAAAAGTTTCATTTAATAAAGCAAACACTCTGTACGAAGTATTAAATGAAATTTTAGTACTAGTAGATAAGAATATGTACAATTCAATTTAGCTCACTTCAGTTTTTTCTTAAAACATTTTTATACTACCATAGTTGGCAATGAAATACGTATATAAATCGAGCTAAAAAAGAAAAAATTAAAAATCGGTCCATCTGTTTTAAAATACGAGGGTGGTACTGCTTAAAGTGTAACACCTGTATATTGCTATTAACAAGTAATAATAATCTCAGTTCTTTAAATTTCATTGGATCCCTTTTGGTTTTGTGTATACTGCATTGTACTGCTTATTAGTGTAAAAACGCAAAAAATTAAGGTAAAAAAAATAATAAAAAACAAAAACACCACGAGAGAGTTAAAGGTTATTCTTAAACAGTTTTTCAGTCAAGAAAGTGCACATGTACTTGTCTCTTGACATTTAGAAAATCGTATCAGGTTTTGTGTCAGCTAAAGTCAATAGACTCGTATTAATGACACGAAGGTTCTATGGCAGATGGTATTACTTTAGTTTAGAAGCAGAAACGTCCAACGAACAAAAATGGATGTTTGTGGCGTGGTGCTTTTCATATTTAATGTTGAAGTGACAAGTGCCAATTCTTGTCCATTCTCATCAGTTATTGTTTGTTAATTAAAGATAGATAGTCATTATTGTGTCTCGAATTAGAAAGGATATATTTTATAGGTAATAACCACATCCTACCTCTGTGTCAACACAAAGGTATACCAAATACAGAGGTGAAGGCGGCTATGCTTTTTCTTCTTAGATATAATTTGAACTTTATGGTGTAGACTGCCACAGTCTCCGACAGCTTATTTATAGTTTGCCTTTCTGGTGTACTTTATTGCTACTCTTATGTTAGTTCAAAACTTCAATATTGTTAAAATTACTTCAGTTTACGTGTAGTGGAATTAGTAACACTTTTATTGAAATACATATAATTAATACTCATTTATTTAACACATTCATGCTATTATTTGACGAGTTTTTCACAAATAAAAGTACAGACGCTTAAGATACTGTCAAACACGAAGGAAAAAGCAGGCAAGTAGGACATACCTGCCCTACTTATATCATTTTATACACTGTAAGAAAACTCGGACTTATTTTCACTCAATTTCACTCAATAATGTATCAATTTCTGTCCATACCCTATTGAGTAAGATTTTCCTCTATTAGTATGAGTACAACTAAAATTTTCGAAGCCCAATATTGACTGAAAATGTACCCAATAATTTCATTCAGTGGATTCACTCTTTGTCAATACCTTTTTGCTTTCACACAGTGTACCTAGTAGTAAGACATTTCATAACTATTTCTGCAAAGTAAACACGAATATCAATTTGTTTCGTGAAAAATTAATATATTATAGGAAACAGCTATAGTTTTCATAACAAAAACATCACAAGAAACAATACCGCATTACAAAACAAATCCTGAAAATTATAAACCATAATCGGGGAATAAAATCCGCTCATTGACTATATGATTCTGTCTTAATTACTGTAAACAATTTTCCATTGTTTTTCTTCACAAAAAATCGTATTTCTTATTATTTTTTTCATTTTATATTTTTACTAACGTTTCAAAAAAAAAAAAAATAAAGTAAATAGATAATATATCCGACTTAATATTCTATAGGGCCTTCTAAGATAATTTATTTAACTTATAAAGGTTATCTTTAAGTAGAAACGTATTTAAGTAAATATACATGGTGTCTCGGTACTTGATACCAAAAAGTCGAATACAAATATATGAGGTCAAAATAATATCAGTTCTTCAAATAATTTTTTTTCATACGTGTCTTCATTAACATGTTACGGACCCTCAAAGGTGAAAATTAACAAAGTTATTTTTATTTACAGTCTCTAAACCACTAACTTCAGCCTGATTCAAATTTGGTGATCGATAACACATGAGTACAACTTGTTTTTGATGTTGTAAGTGAAACTTCATTATGCCCAGTACGCCAGAGACGGAATATGCCCAATGGTTAGCAACCCAGAATTTTTGCATAGACGACGATCGCAATCTGCCTGCATTAATAATAAGTTCCCTGACGAATTTGTCAACGATAATACCCTCTTGGTTCAACTAGGCAAAATTAACAGTTTAGGAATTTTTTGTGATTTTATGTTACAGTGCTCATCGAGCGGCGCCTCCACCAATTTTTAATTGGACATAATTACTATGTTAAAACCGTATATATTTTAAAATAAGCGTCTAGATAATCTTACTGCCTGCTAATGTAATTTTCACTAACAAGATTTGACAAACACACTTTATACATAATACAAAATAGAAAAAAAAAAAACAAGAATAAGTTAGTTAAAAAATAATTGAAAAGGAAGAAAACTGTCAAAATAAATTTTCAATATGGGCACCTTCTACCTCCTCACACTTCCTAAGTCTACGAATATTATTTGTTTGTACACGAAAAATCATTTCTGGGGTATGTCTAATATTATCAGAATGGAAATTAATTCTTTGCAGCAATTCATCCCTTGTCTGTACTGGGGTTGAGTGCATTAAACTTTTCAGTTATCCCCACAGGAAGATGTCCATCGGGTTAAATTCTGGAGAACGTGGTCGCCATGAAATTGGACCTCCTCTCCCAATCCATTTATTGTTAAACACAATGGATGAATAATTTTGTACATCAATATTTAAATGGGAATGAGACCCATCGTGCACGAACCAAACGTTTCTTCAGGTTTCTAATGGAACATCGTCAATAGTGGCTGCAAATTATTTTGCAAAAACTCCGAATATCAATGTCCATTCAAACGTTCCTCAAAAACGTAGGGACCTATTAAATTATTACCCACTATCCCTGCCTATAGATTAATAGTGGATAATAATTTAATAGGTCTATACGTTTTTGAGAAACGCCTGAAAAGACATCGATATTTGGAGTTGAATACTTAAATTTATCCTTGTTTTGCTTTTCTGTTTTGTGTAAAGCGTGTTTGTCAAGTTTTGTTAGTGAAAATTACATTAGCAGATAGTAAGATTTTCTAGGTTCTTATTTAAAAAATATGTACGGTACTAACATAGTAATTATGTCCAATTAAAAATTAAAAACAAAAAATAGTGGAGGCGCCGCTCGATGTGCACTGTGACAAAATTACAAATATTTCCTAAACTGTTAATTTTACTGAGTTGAACCAAAAGGGTATTATCGTTGACAAATTCTTCAGGGAACTTATTTTTGAAGCAGGCAGATTGCGATTCTGATCTAAGCAAAAAATTTGGGTTGGGTATAGTCCGTCCCTGGCGTTCTGGGCATAATGAAGTTTCACTTACAACATCAAAAACAAGCTATACGCGTGTGTTATTGATCATCAAAT